TGGTATAGCAATACGATGGAATAGACCTCAATGATAAAAAGAGATGAACCATTGCTACATGGAATCCTTGTGAATCACAAAATAATACATGGAGTACAGGAAGCCTTCTATAGAAAAAAACGATTGTGTAGTGAATGATTCCATTTACACAAAATTTCAGAAAACAGTTAATCTATAATGACAGAAAGAAGATCAGTGGTTGTCTGGGAAGAAGGAGGGGGCAGGAGACGCAAGGGGGAGAGATTACAAACTGGCATGCAGAAAATTTAGGGTGATGGATACGTCCCTCACCTTGAGTGCAGACATGACTTCATTGGTATAAACATAATTAAACTATACACTTTGATATGTTTTTAAGTATGTCCAACTTGTTATATGTCAATTATATTTAAATATGGTATTAAAATCATGTTAGGTGGCAAGTCTAAAAAATTTTAAGAGATTATAAATAATGAGGTTTCTTCTCGATGAAATGTAAAAGGACGTTGTACAGAAAGGGTGAAGGGAATTTGTGGGATGGTGGCAACCATGCTTTACGGTAAAATGATAAAATCATAAAATATGATCAAATGTGGATAAGAATTTTCATGAGCTTATAGAGAATCAAAATTATTAACCTCAGGTGGCAAAATCATTTTTAAAATGCTCTTTTCCCATTAGCACTCAACTGTTGCACTTGAAGTATGAAAAATGCAGACGGTAGACTGTATTCATGTATAGGAATTTTGGGGACTGAACTAGGAGAGGAATACAAACACGGAACAGGCTGGTTAAAGCATAGCTCATTCGACAGGAAGAGAAGTCAGTGAGGAAACTGACAAACTGGGGAGAAAAACACCAAAGCTGAGAGAACTGATGAAAGCCAAGTGGCAGTGGTAGTGACATATGGAGAAAATTGGAAGGGCTGGTGTTTGTAATGAGACTGTCAAATATTAAAGTTTTAATTTCTAGACAATGAGTAGTTTCGCATCAGAACTGCTGGAAGATCTTCATGCCCCTTTGTCATCAGTATCCCACCCTGAAGAGCACCACTGTTCTACTTTTATCCCTACAGATGGTCTTGGTGACCTAAACTTCATATGAAAAGTACCCTATGCCCTTTTGTGTCTGGCGTCTTTTGTTCAATCTAATTATTTTTGAGATTCATTTGTTTTATTAAAAGGAGGAATAATTCACACCTGTTTCATTGCTAAGAAGTATTCCTTTGACTGTTACGATTGCTTTTTCATTCTCCTACTCATGTACATTTTATTTCCAGTTTAAGGCTGTTATTAATTAACCTGCTGCAAACATTCATATGCTTGACTTTTTGTAGGCACATGATTTTAATTCGTTTGAGTGAATACCTAGTAGCAGAACTGCTGGGCCAATATACCTGATTACACTTCTTTTTTGTAGAATCATCTAGAGTTGGCTTATACTGCTTAGAACCAGACTTAAATATGAAAACGGGACATCATCAAGAACCAAGGTGGCGCTCACTGTTTCTCTGGAGTTGTGTGGCCTCTTTTCATGCCTGACTCATTCTCCTCTCTTTCCGAACAGCCTTCTTCAGACAATCCATCTGCTTCTGCACAGCTCATTACAGTTACCTTAAAATGTTTGCTTCTGCACTCAAATTTATATAACCTCATATATTTCCAATTATCAAGGAAAAAAAAGTCTTTCAGATTGCTCAGAGAAAGAGAATCTGATTGTTTCTTTTTGGTTCTAATACATACGTCTAGCCCAACCAGCTATGGCATGGGACTGAGGATCAAGTGGTACTTAGGCTTGGCTCTTGTGAACATCGGTAATGCAGGTGCTCTATACAAAAAAGTATGGCGGCAGGGAAGAAATGACTAGTTGAGGATGTATTCTAAAATAGTTCTTTGTAATTATTATTTAGTTGAGTCAAAAATCTGATCTGAAGTTACTAAATTCTACTTATTTAGCAAATCAGTACAAAGTGGCAGTTTTGACTGAAGGCTCCCTAGAGGAAGAAAATACTGAATTACACTTTGCCTTTGTGCCCTCTACTGTGTTCATTCAGTGCTACGAACACAAGAGGCACTCACATACAAATACAAATACAATTTTATGTTCCTTAGTTATAAATATTTCCCCTTGTCTTACTTCAAGGCAGGAAGAAACTGAAAGATATATAATGACATTTCCACACAGACGCATAACCATTTCATATCATTGGCCTAAATAATTAACCAATGAATTCACATTATACTTGAAAAAGTTTTTTCTGGCTTAAATTTAATACTTTCAGAGTTGATGGTTTTTTCTATGGATATAAACTCTAGGTTTACTTGAAGTGTCTCTTCCCAACAGAAACTCTGGGGAACAATTACCATAGTTCAGTCCTGCAATTTCTCTCTCATGGTCCTATAACGATCCAAATGATATGATTAGCTTTGGAGCATGGCATGCCTCTTTTGATCAGTTGGAAGGGGTCTGATTCATTTAAAAATAAATGACTATTTAGGGCTTTGATGTTCAAAGGTGATTTATAACACTAGAAAGCATAATGAGGTCCTGACTTCCTGGACTTTACCACTTAATTATGGGGAGAAGCCAAAATAAAGTTTTAAAAAGTTAAACTTGGTAAATAATAATGTACAAAAGGTCACAAAGAAAAATGTTATTCACTACTAAATCAGTGGTGCACCGAGTGAATGGATGCAACAATTTTAAAGGAGAAAAAATGTCATGACAGAGTATTATTTTTCAAGGAGCTGGTAAGAATTATGCTGGAATGTTTCTGGGACTGGACAGATAGAAGTGAGGATTCAAGAAATAAAGTGTTATAGACACATGTATGGAAGTGAGCAGAACATTTTTCTAAGAAAAATAAAGAGAATAGTTTGGGGCTGGGGCAGTAGGGGAGGGGGAGAAGGGGAGAGAGAGAGAGATTTTAAAGATAAATTGGCTCCAGATGTCAAGATACGGAAGCTTGAGTTAGTCCTACCAAAAGATTCTAGATTTTATCATTTTTATAGTACATTAAAAAATGAATGGAAGATTGCTGAAGAGTGCTTCTATCATGACCTTACTGTAGAGCTTTCTTTCTAAAATATTGTCTATAGAAATATTAACTACAGCTTGATTCACATCAAAATTATTCTTGCTACAAGAGACTGTTACTAATTAAGCATTATCCAGTATGTGGCTTTTACAAATGAATTACTAAGAATGGCTCTGTGCAGTACTGGAGTTCTCCCCATCTTCAGTGTTCATCATATCCAAGTTACTCCAAGACCCTTGTTCTATCTCTTGCCCACATCCAGACAGACTCTATTTCTAGGGAAGTTTGTTATTTTCCATTCTCATCATCATCAAAAGCATCTTTGCCTTTTTTTCCTACTTTCATTAGTTCTCATAAACTCTTAAAAAATACTTCAACTTAAAATGGATTTTAGACAAATAAATTTACTACTCAACTTGCAGGGGAAAATGACAAAAAAAATCCTCATATTTTGAATATTTTTTATGATTGATTGATGACAGACATGACCCTTGACTACCCTGAAAGCAACATTTTAATATTTCTCAGCTTTATTTCAAATGCAGCTGGTTTATGATATATACAGTACCATTCAAAGACTCAGATTAGTCTTTTGGAGATGAAGAGATTTTAAGCATCATGGTTTCACTATGGTCCAAAAATAGAAGGCCATGAGAAATTAATAGGATGACACTGAGAAATGTGGTAATTTAAGCCAGGTCATGCCATACCTGCAATTTTTAATGTAACTGGAATCTCATTTTGGACTTAACTTTCTCTGTACACTGCTAGGATTTTAGGCATTTATAGACATATATGGAAACCTGATGGGACTACCCTCATGGAATTTTATTCATACGGAGGCAAAGATTTCCTGGGATATGCATCTATTTTTGCAGTCTAGACATCTGGAACTGTGTGTCTGAAAATTAATGAGATGGCCTTACATAAGTCTTTTTTTTTTAATCAAGATATAGTTAGTTTACAATGTTGTGTTAATTTCTGGTGTATAATATAGTGATTCAGTTATAAATATATATATTCCTTTTCATATTCTTTTTCATTATAGGCTATTACAAGTTATTGAATATATTTCCCTGTGCTATATACAGCAGGACTTTATTTTTTAATCTATTTATATATAGTAGTTAGTATCCGCAAATCCCAAACTCCCCTCCACCGCACCCCTTTCTTCCCTGGCAACCAT